ATTCGCGGGAAGCAGGGGAGGGGGCGGAGACTTTGGGGAGGGGGCGGGGTTGGGCGGGGCTGGGGGCGGGGCCGTGGGCCGGGCCGTGGAGTGTCCTCCATTTGGAGGCACAAAATATGGTAACCCTAAACTATTGCAATGTGCTCTGCTTAACAAAACATCCAGAAGCTTCAGCTAGTAGAAAATATCACCAGATGAATTAAATTGGTCAGGCCAAAAGGAGCACGTAACTTCTGTACTGTGGCCTGACTTATCATACATTTCTAGGTGCAATGCAAGTAGCAGAGGACTATCTAGAAAGTTGTAAATAGCCTTTGCTGGCTAACACTGAGGCTGCCTCCTCTTGGTGCCTCTTTTCTGGTTACCTGCAAAGCTCATTGAAGTTATTGTAAGACTGTGGTATTTCCTGACTTTATTGTGCTTAACAAAGTTAACTGTTGCTTTTACATTCAGCTCAAAATGACTTGATACATTATGAGGCATCATAGCAAAGATCTATTCACTACCTCCCAAGATCCAGGGTGTATAAAAAACAAACCCCAAATCCCTAAACAATCAAACAAAACATGGCTGAACTAGAACCTACAATGCATTTTAAAAGCAAACCAACTCACATGAACTGCATTTTAAAGTCGACGACTTTTCACTGCTGGAATTGGTAATGAGGTCTATCCACTGACCTGTTTTAGTACAAACAATAATGAAATGCTCTTTTGATATGTCAAATGTTAAGCTAGTACCTTGCAGGTATCTCAGTTGTGAGACTCCCTTATATCACATGCTCAGCATTTTATGCCGACTTCCACTATATCTATCCACCCTCCTTTGTTACGTACTGTCACTTTTGCAACAGTAGCTCTATAGGAGCAGGAGAGACACTCCTCTGCTGCTCCAAAAAATTATTGAAAAACATCAGCTGTCAACAGTGCAATATAAACTGGGTCCCCCAGCCCATTGTTTTACATAATAAAGTCTAGATAAAAATGTCAGATTTTGCTGTACATCCATCCATGATTAAGACAGCATAGCAAATTAAATTACTCTCTCCTTGAATGTCAGGGGTCCCGGGTGCTTACAGTGCAGTGGGGGAATGGTACACTTGTTGCCAATCTGTTGATGGATAGGGATGGAGCGTTTAATAATTAATGCAATCTGACATCCTTCCCTCATTTTTACCCTAAGTCCATTCTGCAGTGGAAATCTTTTAGGCCATTGTTGCATATGCTCTTTTGCACTCACTGTTCACAGAATGCTTTATACCGTACTATTGCAGCTCAACGAGGCTACCCAGTCCAACTTGGAAAATATGCTTAGACGCTTGACGCAACCTCCTAAAGAATCGCTATCAGGTCACAGATAGGCGCAGTAGAAAGGTTTCCATGATTTTTTAAAGAATAAAATGTTTTAATTGGAATTAACAAATCAATGTTTCTCTGCAGGATTTGCAACCCACACATTGCAGCCTTGTGCTAGTCCAGGAGAATCTGGAAATGGGAACTGACTATGAAAATACAAAACTGGTTAGTGTCTATCAATCGGTATACCATATTCTCATCTCTGTACTATCTGAGCACCTGGTCTCTATTCACTGCCCATGCTGAAAAGCAAAGACATCACCAAGCAGAAGTAGTGAAAAAGTAGATTAGGCTTTTTAATTCTTTCAGTACAAATTAAGATAAGGTTTTACTTGTCACATAGGTAAGGAAATAGAATTATATTAATATACACGTAGTGTGTGCATGCTCATGCATATGTGAGTTACTATTACTATTTATTTGTATTGTGAGAGTGCCTAGGAGCCCTAGTGATGGACCAGGACCCCACTGTGCTAGGAGCTGTACAAACAGAACATACATAACCCCTGCCCTAAAGAGCTTACAATATAAAAGTTAATGTGGACATGATCCCACAGTGACAGGCAGCAGCACAAGAGCCTGATAGAATGTGTGTTTCTTTATACTTGGTAAGAATAAAGATGATCCAGTTATGGTCTAGCTGAACTGAGCTTCATCCTGAACTAGAAGGTATCCAAAGGTACATTTCTATGTCCCCTCTTCAACCTTGCCTCCAAATCCCAAGTCTGCCTGGCAGACAGGCTAAACCCCAGTGTAAAATGGAGCCATCTCAAGTAGGGTTGCCACCTTTCTAATGGCTGGTAACCAGACTCCTGAGGCCTCACCGCCTGCTTCGCTTCCCCCCAGATAAAAAAAACAAACAAACAAAAAAAAACCCCCACAACAACAACTGGGGATCAGGTCTTGTCAAATGGCACCTGGACACGCAAGCCGAAACCCAGACTGTCCAGGTGAAAACTAGACAGATGGCAACCCGAACCTCAAGACTGTGCTACTTTACACCTGACATGCCTGGTGATCCCTGGCTGCTAAACTCCCTCCTGGGAACCCAGGCAAAGGATATGCTGGTCGTACTGCATGCTAGGAGAAAGCCAGCATAAGAGCCACTATATTAGGGTTACCATATTTCAACAATCAAAAAAGAGGATGGGAGGAGCCCTGCCCTAGCCCCGCCCCTGTCCTGCCCTAGCCCTGCCCCTGCCCCTTCCACTCCCCACCCCCTCAGAACCCCCAACCGTCCCCCCCACTCCTTGTCCCCTGACTGCCCCCTCCTGA